TATCAGGAATTCTTCAAAATGACACCTGAATGAAAAGAACTGGTTAATCCCAGCTTACTGAATGACCTAAATAGCTGGTGATCCTGAAATATCAGTACATTAGACAGATAATTCCGTCATTGTTGGGAGTTTTATGGTAACACAAGATGAGACATGAGAGAAAATTAGTAATGGATGTGACAGTAAATACCAATACAGATAAGCAAGATGTGCTTTATTTAGAAAAACAACTAATAGATGTAAAAAGAGTAAGGTTTTATGAATCCTCTACAAAGTAAAACATAAAGATTTGTCAAGTTTCATTTAATGTATTCAGACATTTTCGCTGAACAGAACTACTCATATGTGAAAACACAGCATTGTTTTTACTCATCGTATATCATACAAAATATAATACGGGATAAGCTCAATGTTATCTAATGTTTGGTTAAAAACGGCTTTTATTGCAGGCCAAGCTTCAAAACTACACACTTAAAGTTATGTTTATAAATAAATGTGTTCTTGTAAATAAAAAGTCAGTATCATCATAGCAATCTTTTTTGTTTTCTTTTAATCTGTTTATAAGTTAATTAAAAAAACATGTTTGTATTTAATTGTATAATCACATTTAATAGTTCAAGGTGCATATAAATGTCCTGTGATTATAATACAGTTAGGTTATAAAAGTCCTTAATTATAATACAAGGATGTTATAAATATCGTGCAGGTTTTGAATTTACTAGTAATTGGTAAATACCACAACACAAAACTTCTGACCGCTGAAGCAAATAATTGATATCCTAGTGCAGCAGTCAGAGGTTGTATTTATAATTTATTATAATTTGAGATAAATTTGCTCTCATACGAAACACCTACACACATCCGTCTTAAAAGCATCATTTATCCACGGACAGACCTTATTGTTATCACTGTCTATTCCAGAACGATTTTACCATTTTTTATACAAAGCGGGAATCGCAAACAATCTCTCTAACATTTTCTTTCATAAAACATCTGAAAAATCTTTTTCCTCTTGAAATTCGATATCTTAAATGTGACATATCTTTATATTTATAAAAAATTTCATATTGTGTCATTTACTGTATTGAAGTATTACGTTTTGTTGTCTGTCTGCTATTGGTTTCAGATAAGCTATGGCAGTATCCAAATAGTTTGTTATGCTTATTAAGTCTAGTAAAAACTTTGTTTTGTTTCGTTCATAATCAATATACGTCTTAAAGGTGTGCCTGATTTTAAATTTTATTTTTTCAGACAAACTGACTGATAATTAAATATAAAACCCATACATTGACTATAATCATCAGGTTTTATGTCGAATCATTGTATAAACTTCAGAGAGTATTGTTAATGCAATACTTCATTTAAACTTAATCTTATTTAAAAAGTGAAATATAAAAAAATGGGAATAAAAATACAATGCACATCAATTTTATATAACTTAATGATTACAATCTTTCCTGATTTAGAATGACGTTTCGGTGCTTGTTTCCTACATTTTTATAGCTTCCTTTTCTAGATTTCGCTGTTTTATGGTAGTGTGACGTAGGATACATTCGTACTGTAAGTTACAGATAATAACATATTGTTTGTATTGACTTCTTATTTGAAAACGTACTAAAGGTAATACGGTTGTAACGAGACTCTGTCGAGTTTCCGACAGTTACCCGAGATCTAGATACCAGATAGTCCCGTTTTGACGACAGCCGGTTTTTTATTCTTCTTCATGAATATTACATCATAATCATTTGTCGTTATTCACGTTATTCATTCATATTTGGGAATTTTTAATTTGTTGCATTCAAATTAACTTACTTTTGTACTTTACGAATCTTATCTATCCATATAGCATGTTTCCTTATAGTAGCGTATAAATTCATAACTTCATTCATAGCCATAAAATATGACGTCACCTCAATTTAGACCAAATTCATTCAAATAAGGCGCGCGGGAGTGATGTCATTTAAATCACCGACTTCTCCTTACACGGAAGGGGGGCAATAAGATGTATGGATGGATGGATGGTTAAAAAATGAAAAAAAAAACAATTGTGATTAGAATGTTCATGTTATTCATTCTTTAGGCATTTTTATTTGTTTCATTCTTATTCACTTTACTTTTGTAATAGTAAAATATCTTTCTTTTTACTGATTATAGAACATTGTATTTGTTCCCTTATATGGCTTATCAACAATATTACATATATTTGAAAATCTATATCCAAGAGCGTAAGATACTCAATAATCTTTACTACTATCTCCTTTACAGCTTTTCATTACCTTCGGCATAGAACTCAGTTGATAAATCTTGTATAAATAATATTGTTTTTGTTGTTTTTATTATTATTTATTTATTTATTTATTTATTATCATCATCATTATTATTATTATTATTCTTATTATTCTTATTATTATTATTATTATTATTATTATTATTATTAATGAACTAAAACTGTGATAAACTATAACAAAAGCTTCTATGTTCTTAATTATTATCCTATCAAATGACGTATACAAATGTTTATTCACAAATTTTCTTGCCAGAGATATGTAATAAGGTCGTCAAAGCCGATTAAATAACTATTTTTGCTTGTTCCCGTGAGTTAACGAATATAGAAAATAAGTCAAATAATATTGAAATTAAAATATTTTTCTGTATTTGTAAGTATGCTATTTGACATGAAACTATGTGTAAGATATAGTATTATTTTGATATAATTATTGAAAAGTTATTATGTACAATATGTCATATGGTGGATATTGTTTTGCATTGTAACATGGTGATATATTTGTATAGAAAAAGAGTCGCATTGGCACATTTTTTGAATAAATAAAGTATATGTTCTATTATGTTTAGTTCTTGTTAATTTGTAACGGCATAAGAGGATAAGGGCAATGACATATGCTATAATTTAACAATGATAATGTATGTTCAATTTAAACGATATTACAGAAAAACAAGCTGAAGTAAGAGATAATATATTGTCTGTGTAAATTACTAGAGCTCCTTTGTGCTGTCGTACAAAATGAGATACAGTTTACTAATGGTTTTTTTTCTAAAGAGGTAGATAATTATATTTTACGCCAAAGATTTTTAATAACATTTTTTCGCGCTTTTTCTGAAAGATAAAACATTTGTATACATTTTTATCTGTTAGATAAAAATTGAACAAACTTTTTCATATTTATGTAGAGGAAGAACTCTCAGTTCCTTTTTTGTAATTTTAAGTTTCATAGGGCACATGAATAGAATCATGACAATGAGGTGAAGTAGTTGGTTAAAAAAATATCGTCAATGGTCAGTTAAAAAAAAACTGCGACTTGATCAGTTTTCTAGATAAGTAAATACTGGTATTTATTCATTTTTTACAGGTATTCACGTGATTGTTACTGTTACGTGTTCAGTTATTGCACCTGTATATTAAAGTGTTTAAAGCTATACGATTTACATTTTTATAAAATTTATGATTTATTTTTTATAATATTTATCAACAGTGAAATAATATTGCTTCCAATAGAATATATCGTTCCAGTTCTGCTATCTTTAGTAGGTTTTTATCTGGTTAGCAATAATGTCCTGCATGCACCATCATTTTTAAAGCAATTTACTATCATATTTATTTCATACAAGCAATTTAGAAGTATTATATTTTTAAAAATTCTGCCGCATAGTTGTCAATTGGCTTTTTGCAGTATATGTAGTCTTTTTCTTGTTGATTACTTTGTAAATGTTAAAATGGTAAACAGTTCTATCATGTTTGTAATATGGCAATCATTTATGATAGAAAGTTCAAGTTTATATAGAGCAACTATTTCGTTTGGTATCTTTAATGAAAAGTGATGTGATAAAATGTTCATAAAATATTGCATTTAATGATTATATGATTTAAATATGGCATCCTGATTTCAAAAACTTTTGTTACCATGATTTTCACGTCAGTTTACCGGGGACCCAGTACCATATCATGTTATATTCCTCTTTATATATTTTTGTTATATATTTTTTTTTATTTTCTGATTTTTTTCACAGTACAAAACATTTATACACATACATACAAATTATAGAGTCATGTATTTAAAGAGGAACAAAAAAAATTATTTTATGATTCTACAAAAATTATTTTAAAAAAGTAATATTATAGTATCTTACCAATATTGTAAAACGTTATTAATGCAAGACCTATTTTAATATAACATTAGAAAAAGATTCCTTTTCAGAAATTATTACATTACATTATAAGAGAACTCTTTATAAATAATTAATATGTTCCATTTTGCACAGCATACCAATGCCAGTGATTTAGAATATTCGAGTACCGATAGCTTCTATAAATCCCATGAAAAAAAGGAATATTTTACTCAATATTTTATGTATATAACTATGCAATATCCGGCTGTACTTTAATAAATATATCTATTTTATCTAATGGGGCGAACAATCAATCTTCTATGACACTATGACACTACAAATTCTAAATGATAAACATGCACAGTGCAGAAAAGCTCTTAATTTTCTATAACTACTCTGTATAAACAGTCAAGATTAGCAAAAAATCCAGGGCCCAGTCATTCGAACCCTCCAGATCCAAAACCAAAATTGTGCCTTTCATTTTAATCTTCACTTTAAATATTTCACATCGATACACTAACATGATCAGCTGTATTGAGTAGATGGAAGTTTCCTGTCTTTTGTAATAGGGTAGGGAGAACATAAGTGCTGATTCTATATTTGAGTAACTAGGCAATTTTGTCTCGCATCTCATCATTTGACGCTAACGAAAGGTAATAATTCAATAATTGCATTAGCGTGCGTCTGTGATATTTTTATTTAATCGTTGTCTTTTAATGCATTTCATTATATTTCGTAATGAAGCATTCCTGTATTGCCACTCGCATATGATTTTATGTTGATGTCTCTATTCTTTTGTAAAACGAATTGTTCTTAATTTTACACTAGTTTGACTGTTTCGAACTTCCGTAATATGCGTAACTGGGGTAACTCTATTTACATTTTGGAATTTATTTAGACAAGAGTTGTCTTTCTTTATTTTAGCATAACAATTATCAACAATTACAATAACAAAAACATGCATGTACATGAATAGCAGGTGTTTAATGACCAATTTACAATTTTATAATTAATCTTAGGTAATCTCATCGTTTACTGAACAACTTTATCTTTTTGATTCATGCTGAGGATGTTTTCAGTAAATCATTGTTTAATCAAACCCTATTTGACGGTATATATACCTCAATATTGCTGAACATTCATTTCGATTCTTTCAAATCAGATACTAAAATGGTAAAATACTCTGACAGATTTTCTTTCTTAGTGTTAAACAATATAATCCTAAAGTTATACAAATATGATGTCTATATCGCAAGCCTGTATTTAAACATATAGCTCAACAAAGATAGCTCAAAACGATGGCGATATTATAGTCACTTTTCCATTTCAGCAGTTTCATTATTTCAGTTGACATAAATCATCAAAAAACTCGCAAGACCATCAAAAAATTCTTTAATATGTTTTGTCAGTAACGGGTATTTTAAGAAATTACATTATCATCCCCTCTTAATTTTACTATAAGGTAAAAATAACATATCTTAGTATTTCTCTCAGCTTTGAAATGAATAGAAACATTTGCCTTTACAAAGACTGATATTTGTAAGGTTTTCTTCTTAAAGGAAAAAGGACAACAAATTTACAAAGCATATGACGGTAGTTAGGAAAAGGCGTAAAATGAAACAAACAAACAGCTATTAAAATAAAACAGTTGAACCATTGTTTTACTAGAAAATAAGTAACTTGTTACTGTTGTGCTATTTTACGTAAACCGAGTTGTTAAATGCAATTACATTTAACCACTGTGCAATATTTCAACAACAGTCGAACCGCTATTTCAAATTTGTGTGAAAAACTATATCCCTCTCTTTAGCATAAATGTTGTCTTTAACACTTTTTTTTCTTATTTTCATCGAATCCTTGGAATTATTCTGTATCATTGTGTATTGAGTGTCTCTTAGCATTACTCTCTAACGATCCTTTATCCGTTTGATCATACAATAGCTCACTTTTATTTTGATTTCCACTGTTAACTAATTTTAATTTATTGTAGATCGTATTACTGTCACCTGGCGAGCAAGCATTCTGTTCCTGCAAATTGTCATTTGAATCATTGTGAACAGTCTTATTATTTGATCTGAGATTGATCACATTATAATCCTCCGATTCTTCCGTATAATTTCCAGCTCTGTCATTAACTTCATTACCAGTGTTGGCATCATTAACATATCCAGACCTCATTGCGTTTGTATGCTCAGATTCGGTTTCATGAAAAGCAGTAAGGAATGCCGTGCTGTGTGGTGCAGCGTACACCACACTATTTGAAGCTACTGGATCAGAATCTTTCTTACAACGGAGCCTGTAAACATTTATAATAAATTTAATGTGCAAATATCAAATAGTTCCTTACTTTCTCATGGAACGAAAACGTAATGATATGACTTTATTTATGAGTGCTGTCCCATGACGGACTGTCAATTTCAATCTAAATTCAAGTAAAACATCATTATTAGCAAACAAATCAAAGAGAGCCATGACTATGTTACATCAAATCACAAAAGTACTGCAGATAACTCAAATTTGGTTCACGTCAATTTCAAAAATTTGTTAGACAATAGAATAAAAAAGAACAGATTTTACAGGAAAAAAAGTGTGGTTCGAAATAATTTAGTCATTTTACGAGAAAAACTACAGTCAATGACTAAACAGAAAAATTGCAGTGTCGACTGTCTGGATTGGGTTGAGATATGTTCATCAGGTAGCAGAAGAGGCTTATAAAAACTACGGGTATGTACATGAACTTTTAAAAAAAGTACACAAAATGCTAAAAAAGTTTTAACAATGTAATTTTTTGCAGGAACATTTTGTTGGTTCTAGACTATATAGATTTCACTCTGCAAATTTGGTAATAGAATGAACAAAACATGTTGTTATCATAATATAACTGTAAAATTTGTATTTTTCGCTTATTCGGTGATGTCAACTTTATTTAGTCAATGTTAAATAGAATATTGTATACTCATTTTTATATGCTTAAATCTACACAAATTTCTTTATTTCCAATGGACTTTCACGCCGGAGAGGCTAGGATGTACGAAAGGCCTGGCGACGAAAGATGCCCTGTGAGGACATATTAGATGGACCTTTTAAAATTGCATTCTGAGTTAGATTTTTTTGGCAAAGGCCTTTTGATTCGTTAAAGAAAGAGGATCCGGTTCGGTTCTTGGTAAAAAACTGTCTTTCTAATTCGATGGCAGATATCTCTCAATTAACTTGTTTATCGTGTACATATACAAACCCTTGTACAACTTGAAAATATTATTGTTATTTTTATAATATGTACCTTTTTCAGAAAAAAAATGGATGAAATGTGTCACAATCGTATACATGTATGATACTAAACATGTAAAAACACTGCAGTTTAGATTGTTTGGGAAACGTTGGGCTTATAGAGGGGTTTTGAGGGTAGTGACCACCAACGCGCCGAATACCTGTGAGTTAATTTAACCTTTACCATAATTTATGTCTGTGAACGTATTCTTCCCTAAATGGCTTAGGAAATAATATACAAAAATAATTTGGGAAGCCTTACTTACCGCCTCTTACAAATAATTATAACCAATATCACCGCTATAACGATATTCCCAGTGGCAATAAAATATACAAATAGGAAACAGAAGTTTTGTCATCGCCTGGAAAACGTGTAAACAGAACATGTTTCAGCATGATGATAACTGTTACATTATATACAGCATATATTCATCAGAAGTTTTAGTATAGTAACGCTTATTACTAAATAGTAATTAATTTAGGAATTTTATACGGAACCGTCCTGGTGACAATTTAACATGTTCTATAAAAAATGAAAACTCCTACGTCGGAGATAAAAAGCCTAATTAGGAGTTTATAACTCCTACGTAGGACTTTATAATTTATGCGTAGGCTAAAAAGCCTAATTAGGAGTTTATTACTCCTACGTGGATAAAAAAAGCCTAATAAGGAGTTTATAACTCCTACGTAGGATATAAAAAGCCTAATTAGGAGTTTATAATTAATACGAAGGATAAAAAGCCTAACTAGGAGTTTATAACTCTTACATAGGATAAAAAGCCCAATTAAGAGTTTATAACTCCTACGTGGGAGTTATAAACTCCTATTTCAGCTTTTTTTTTATCTCTTCTGTACAAATCTTATACTCGTTGTCGTAATTTTAACATAATAAATTTGAATGTGAAACCAATAAATTAATCATGATATGTGATTATATTAAATTTGCAAATAATCTGCTGTGGAATAACTGATACTGGCTTTACAGTCTTGTCATTATCATAAATAAAATTAGTGTTCAATTTCCTATGTTCTTTGGACAGATTATACCATTCATTTTGTTTATTTTGATACAAGACAGTTTACATTACATATATAATGAAAATGTTGTAATGATAACGTGTTGGAATTTTACAGACAAATAGTGACAATTTACAGAACATCTAGATTTATTTTTTATCATGAATCATAGGAGGAAAAGAACTTCGAACCTGTGTTCGTTTTCCTCACTGGTTTAAGTGTAGATAAAGTATCCTGATTTGTTGATGGCTTTTGCTGGTACTTCCTGTCTCAATGATAGGACTAATACTCGACTGTTGACTGGTACTTTGCTAGTCTTAGTCACGTGATTCACACTTGACTGTGTACTGGTACTTTTGCTAGTCTCAGTCACGTGATTCACACTCGACTGTGGACTGGTACTTTTGCTAGTCTCAGTCACGTGATTTACACTCGACTGTGGACTGGTACTTTCGCTAGTTTCAGTCACGTGATTCACACTCGACTGTGGACTGGTACTTTTGCTAGTCTCAATCACTGGACTTACACTCGACTGTGAACTGGTACTTTTGCTGGTCTCAGTCACGTGATGTGTACTCGCACTTATTTCTGTAGATGATGTTGTCGACGTATTTTCATATGCTTTTTGGATATATAATGTGAGACGATATTTAAACCGTTATATGACTAAATACAAATTGTTTTTTTTAATGGCTTGAAAATATTCTATTAAAAGCACAAGGCATAAAACAATATAACTTCAGCAGTAATAAAAATGTTTCAAATCTTGAAAGTAATTATTCAACGGAACAACCTAAATAGCAAAAAAAATGTGACTTATTATTAGAACATTTGATGTTAGAAAAATGCTGTTTTGCTGTCAAAATGATTTCGCTTCAACAATAAACTTTAATATTTTCATTTTTATTCAAATGTACATTATTTTGACCTACTCCTCTAAACATTTTATTAATTTTTAGATATTGTTTAATATATTCGCTTTTGCAATATCCTTTTTTACGTTAAACGAATGAAAACAATAGTTACACTTTGTGACGTATATCATAATTTGCCAATCACCACCACAGTATTCATCCGGGTTACCTCTACATTTGTAGGTACAATGTGCTGTCTTTTTACAATACCTTATTTTATTTCCGCAAAAACACTCTTCCCCACTCTGTAAAAAAGAACAATGACTATGTTTTAGCCATTAAATAATTTATAAGATTCAACATCCACTCATTCGAAACTTTTGTAATGGAAATTAAAACTTCTAATGTTGATACTTGAATTCTAAAATGTATGGATTATAAAGGAAAATAAGTTAGACTACCATTCATACATTAAAATATTTAATTTAATAAAGTTTTTGTTGTTTTTGTTGGTTTTTTTTAACAAAATATATCTTTTATTTATTTTATCACGATAGATGGTTGAAAAATGATGCCCCCATGGCTAAAATTAATATATTGTGTTATGAGATAGTAATATTTATGAAATAGTAAAGCTTTTTTCTATGTTTATCTTAAAGCTGCATTTAATGAATATGTAAAAATAGTTTGCGTCTACTTAAAAACCAAGCATTTTACAGTTCATGAACCTTTTAACAGTATTGTTGTAATTCTCATCAAAAATTGTTAATAAATTACGATTTTATTCGGAAAAACTCCATGGTAACACTTAAGTTCGTATACGAATTTTAATATATGCAAATAAGAACTATTATCAGCTCGTTCTGTTTTAATGAAATTTATCAATGCAGTTTTAAATGACAATTTTTTAATAACATATCAAATATTTTTCCTGGTGAAATACTTTTGCAAATATTACTTTGTGTGTTTTTTTATCTGCTATTTACTCGGATTTTAACACATTTTGTGTAGGTGAGCAGTCCACCCGGCCAGCTTTCCGGGATAACTCGCCACTTATTACCACATTTCTCCGACTACTTATCTGACATGACTTTCAGAGGTGAGAGACAAAAGACTAATAAACTCAATGTCCGAGATCAGTTGTCACTGAGAATTTTCGCCTCCTACGAACATTGAACCAACGATCTCTGGTTTACTTGAAGTAATTCAACAGAATACTTTAGACATAAGCAAGGGGACTATGTGCAAACAATACTAAAATATAACTGCACAAAGTGCTCGAAAACATATAAACAAGACATAAATAAATAAATGTACACGTTATATTGATAATACATAAATTTACCTCGGTACCAAAATATCTGAAACCTTGACAAAACTGTTTACATTCCTTTCTTCCGTTTGGGTCTAGTTTTGTACTGTTTTCCACTCAGCACTCGGTTTTTATAGTCTTTATAACATCCAATACTTCTATCAAGTGAGGCTTCAACTACATATAACATTTAATAATTTTTAAAGTGAAACAAAAATAATGCTTTTCGACTATCAATAAGTGCAAGAATTTCGTACAGATAAAACATTAGTAAAACATTTTTGTTTTTAATTGATTTTAACTGTTTAAATAAAATGTTATACTTTATAAATATACCTTGCAGAGGCCCTAAATTTAACATTATTACAAAAACCAAACTAATTTGAAATTCGTGACATCTGTCGATAAAATCCAAGCATTATCTCTTTAAAATTCATTTTCAAAAATAAATCCACTTCTAATAAACGCTCATGTTTCAATATCACAAAGTTATGAGTACATCAAGGATACAAACATTTACACTTACCGCATCAGGAAGTATAACATAAGGAAAAACAGTCATAACTGCCTTTTTTGTGAATATATTTTCACTTTTGTATGCTATAGATTTATGAAAAGAAATATGTTTCGAAATTCTGCGGGTATTGCATGATTCAGTAATGGGTAAAAAAACGATTCGGCCACTTGACCATTCGACCCATAGCAATTCGTCAGACTTGGAATATTGACGGACGATTGTCTAGTGTATGTGACCCAATCTTCAGAAAAAGGGCAAATAACCCGGAAAAAACGAAACAAAGAAATAAGTGGTACGATAATGACTGTAAGGGGAAACAAAATAATAATACAGAAAATGAAATAAATGTGGTAAAATCTAGAACGGAGTATAAAACATTAGTTAGAAATAAAAAGCTTAATCACAATACAATGTATTCAGGAAACCAAAACATTAGAAAAATTTCGTTATAAAAATGCAAAAGAATATTGGAAGCTATTAAAGAATACATGTATACTGGCAGAAAAACATAGTATATCCTGCACACATTTCGCCGAATACTTAAAAGCGATAAATAGCCCAGATTCTTTTTTTTTTTCAACCGGAAGATGATGCAATTAATTTTAACGAACGGTATGTCAATGGGGAATTTCAGTGTTTCACGGAAAATGAAATATTCCGCGCATGATCAGAACTTAAGAATAACCGTTCCGGAGGACCCGACTATTTTATAAATGAATTTTACAAATACGGAATTAACTCGCTTCTACCATATTTACTCAAGCTTTTCGACAAATTACTATCACAAGGTTATTTTTCCCAAAATGTGGTCGGAAGGTTTCATAATACCTATCTATAAAAATGGAGATAATAATTTACCAGAAAATTACAGGGGAGTGACATTACTAAGTACCCTAGGTAAACTTTTTTCAAAAAATACTTAATATACATCTTGAAAATGTGGCAGAGAACTATCACGTTTACATTGACGCACAAGCAGGATTTAGGTCAAAGATGGGAACTGTAGATAATATTTATGTATAACAAAGTATCATTAATCGTATAATTTCTGAAAATAAACGTCTTTTTGTTTACTTCGTTGACTTTACAAAAGCATTTGATTTTATTGTTGGGGATAATTTATGGTTAAAGCTGATAAAATTAGGAGTCAGGGGAAAAGTAATGAAAGTTTTGAAATTTATGTATACAAACGTCAAATCCAGAATTAAATTATCAAATACATTGAGCGAATGCCATTGTTATTAGGGGTCCTCAGGGAATTGTCCTTTTTCTTTTCTATGTCATAATGATTAGAAGATATTTTTATATTAAAGGTTTTAAAGGCATAGACTTAGGTACTCTGAAATTGTTCCTATTATCATACGCGGACGACATCGCTATTATATCAGTAACAAAAGAAGATCTTTAAAAGGGATTTAATATTTTAAAAGATTATTGCGACGAATGGAAACTAAAACTAAATGTAAATTAAACAAAAATAATGGTTTTTAAAATGAGTGGGAGAAATTAGCATAATTTAATTTTTTGATATGGACATACAGAAATTGAAAAATTAAATAAATTCACATATTTAGGAATCGTTTTTACAGTGGAAGGGTCATTTTCTAAAACCTTCGAAGCACTTTCAGGACAAACATTAAAGGCAATTTTAAAACTTAACCCTTATATGCAACACTGCCCTAATATCTCAGTTTCACACATACTGGACCTTTTTGACAAGTTAATAACACCTATTTTAAGCTATAGATGCGAGGTATGGGGTTTCATGGAAGCAAAAAAGATAGAAAATATACATTTGAAATTTTGCAAAATTTTATTAGGAGTAAGGCCACAAACTCAAAATAACTTCGTTTATGGAGAAATAGGCAGAGAACAATTAATACAGCTTAGAATGATACGAATCTTAAAATTCTGGTTTAAAATATTGAAATACCGGTAGTTATTCCATTTTTACAGGTAACTGTTAAGTGTTCCGTTATTGCACCTGTATATTAAAGTGTTTAAAGCTATACGGTTTTCATTTTATAGAATTTATGATTTATTTTTTATAAAATTTATTGAAAAATAATATTGCTTCCAATAGAATATATCGTTCCAGTTCTGCTATTTTAAGTAAGTTTTTATCTGTTAAGCATTAATTTCCTGCATGCGCCATCATTTTTAAAGCAATTTACTATCATATCTATTTTTTACAAGCATTTCGGAAGTATTATATTTTTTAAAAATTCTGCAGCATAGTTGTTAATTGGCTTATTGCAATATATGTAGTCTTGTAAAATATAGTATTTTCTTTCAATACAATAATTTACGTGTATGTTAGGCCATTTTTAAAATGTGACTTTATGACATGGTCAACGCTTTCTTCCATGTTTTTATTTAATTATGCGCATACCAAACAGGAAGGCGACAGTACGATGATGACGCTACGACAATATGATGGTGACAGTACGACAGTACGATGGAGACAGTACAGTCCGTCGTGCTGTCGTACTGTCACCATCGTACTGTCGTAACGTCACCATCATATTGTCTTATTGTCACCATCGTACTGTTATGTTTTGGCTTATCGTTCCCAGAAGAAAAAAAACGAGCTGGCCCAAACGGAACACCATATTTGATAAATAAACAATTTTTTTTATAAAGGAAAATGTAAAGATGTATGAAGGGTAGTGAAAAGAAAAAAAAAGGTTAGATACAATTGAGTAAATTAGACAAATCTATAACGATAATTCCCACCGGCAATAAAAGATACAAATAGGAAACAGGGGATTTGTCATCACCTGTAAAACGTGTAAACATTACATGTTTCAGTATGATGATAACTGTTACATTATACAGCATATATTCATATTGTAACGCTTTTTGCAAATATTGCTAATTAATTCATTTATGAACTTTAAAATTCAGTTTTTTTGTACTATTGTAATTTTATTTCGGAATTTTTTACTTATTTTCTTGTTCTGTTGAATGTAATTATAACAGTAGATAAATTTGAATAAGAAACCAATGAATTATTCATTTGCAAGTTTAATATATGTATAAATATATACATATAAATATAATTATATATACATATATATAACATTCGAATACCAAAAGGTGAACTCTCTGTAGACAAATTTAGGTTTATTGATTCATACGAGGAGAAGAATTACGTACCAGCAGGGGTCAGTATCTCGAAGCTATCGTTAGCATAACGACTGTCGTAAGCCTCTCGTTAAGGTTTTCACTGGTATCTCGAAACTCTCGTAATTAACGAATAATCGTTGAAATGCCCAATTATTAACGGTTGCGTAGAAGGTATCGTATAGCTCTCGTTACTATCACTTTGGCAAAAAGGAAGAATATTTCGAATTCAAAATACACAAAAAATGAGAATTATATCAACTTATTGATAAAAATGATGAACCTACATAAATATGATATTTTATTTCTTTCTCTCACATATCAAACATATGTAAGAGCTCTTTTAGTTTACATAAAGTTGTATATTTAAAAGCAGATGAAAGAAAATCATATCATAACTACAAAAATGTATCGGAAAGAATGTGTAATTTTGCACAAGACACTAATAATAAATATTTGCATGTACATAATGTTATAATGTTAAAAATGTAACAAAACTCGGTACTTTTTACAGAATTATATTTCGAAAAGTTATATGTGATGTAATGATTTAATGACATGAACAAAAATGCTTAACGTTACGCTGCAAAAATCAGTACAACAGATAGGCATGAAATATATGGACATTTTGTTTATTGAAATAGTTTGCTCTTGCCAACACCATCTGTAATATTTTTACTTGCTATATTTTAATTTGTAATTCATAATTCTTTCTTAATCCTTTGTTAAAGACAAAATGAAAATTTATCCATAAATTAACAGCAGATTATATAAACTTAGTAGACAGGTTGCATGACCTTATATAAAAGGTTGTTTGTAAATATAACCTCAGCCGTCAGGCCAGGTTTATATTGCAAACAAGGGTTTTTATACGGCCATATAACCTGTCAGGAATATTTATAACGAATTTATAAAGCTTCAAACTTCCCTTTTAAAGAGTAAAAGTAAGATTTCCAGCTCGTGGAAATATATGGAAATTTATTATGTTTCGTGAAAATATTCTATATTTCACTCAAACGAAAAACATCTTAATATTTCTTTAAAACTAAACCCATCGTCGCTGTCGTCGATGTATCATCATCATTATCATAGAAATAACCATTGTCACTCGTATATCACGATCGTTTTTTTTTAACTTACATAAGAAAAAAAGAATTCTAGATTATTTATGATGAGACCAGTTGCATATATATATACGAGTAAATAATCAATTTATTAAGCGTTTACATTGTAAAATAAGCAAAGTTATGGACTGACTTGAATTTATTGTCCTTATATGTGTTTAAATAAACAGACTACTAGTATTCAAAAAAGATACTATGACTACTGAATGTTCGCTATTTACATTCATTTAGATATTTGCAATTTCAATATTTCATCCATGAAAGCAACATTTTCAAGTTTGAATCTTGAGAGTATACTTACACCCTGAGGGGAGGGGGATATTGGGAAGAAGCTCGGCCAGAATATTTGCTTTGACTTAGTAAAGTGTTTAAGATATCTGATTTCCACTAGCAACCTTTGCTGCACAATAGTCAGTCTCTGCTGTTCTATAAGCAGTCGTTTTCCCTCAGTAATACTAGTCTTGCAGTTTCTATTTTAAGTTTTTACCTTTCAAAAGTAATCACGTCAGTTACATAGGAACTTTCAGCATTTGCAATTCTTCTTGGTTTACGTTTTGTAACAGCCATTTCTTCCTGCTTTAACACACTGTTCGCGGTATTCAAATGATTCGTTAATAACTAACGAGTAAGGAACGAACGATTGCTTAAATATCGCTTTCGAGATACCCGCGCTAGTCTCTCGTTAACCAACCTTCCGTCAATCGTTAGCACGTTCGTAAACGCAAATATAACGATAGCTTCGAGATACTAACCCATGGGGTACTAACTGAAGGGGCACTAACTGCAGAGGCGCGTTCAACAACGTGAGTGCTCGATTAACCGATTCGCCTGCAAACAAAATTGGAACTGAACGCAATCGAGCGCTCTTTCGCAAACCAATATGGCGTCCGTTGATAAAGATCTTAGAAAAATAATTTTAAATGTTGTAATAGACAAGTTGTCTGACACTCCAGAAGTTATTTATGAGGATCCAGTGATGGAATATTTAGCTGTAAACAGAAAAAGAAGACCGAAAAAGAAGACCCGAGTTGTTAGGTACCGGTAGAATTCAAAATTATGTGGATCAAACTGTCCCAAATACAGCGATCCGTTTTTAAGGGCACATTTCCGTATTGACACGGGAGTCAGTGCAGGTAAATAAAATGCGAACATCGACTTTTAATTGAAAAAAAATATTTATGTAGGTTTTTTTCACACAAGCGAATCCGTTTTTCAGCCCAATTTTTGCTTTTTCCCCATTTACTTGTTCAGTGTTATCTAAAATTCCGTCCATCATCATTATTTATACTTGTACACAAAATACTGCATGTACTTCCATTTTTATGTTCAGGTCAATTTAGGAGTGTAAATTGCTTTGCATTTACAAGATATGTACAAGATATATTGAATAATTTCAAGTATCTGAAAGAGTGTATGCATGGGTGCAAGTTTTCAGGCATATGCTTGAAGCTCATGTTTTTTGTGACAAATTTCATCATGTTTTACTGTTAGATTATGTAGGTAAATGATTATGAGGTACAGTTTTAAGGTTTTTCCAAATTTTCAACTTGCACCCATGTGTATGTTTGTCAAGTACATGTAATTTATGGATGACAAAATAAATCAATATATGTCATATGATTTTGATTTTTGTGTAGCACAATGTCAATGTGGGGTTATTTCGGCATTCGGATAATTTCTTCACTTTTTTACTTTTTTTAAACGCTTTTAAATTTTGGGTCGTTTTTTACTATAATAATACTTATTCTGGAAAAACGTAGCGAGCTAATGATCTGAAATTTTGCACATAAGATTTTAGTATAGATCTACATCAAATGGATGAAAAATCTCAAAAAAATATTTCTAGTCCCGTCATGTCAAAAAACCTCAGTGGAGTTCCTTTAAGATATTATTGTAAACCCATTGAAACAATCTACACTGTATGCCGGCTTGACCTGTACCGAGTTGATATAGGGCTAAGTTGACTCTTTGCCGAAAGGAACTAGCTAATAGACAAATTGCCTGTTTAGAACAAAAACTTTGACATTTAATGTAGATCTAGTACTTAATGTACTGGTGTGATATGTGTGGTATTTAAACTGTAATATTTTAAATGACTTGATGAAGAAATTTATATTGTTTATATATGTTCCTCAACATACTTTTTAAACAAAGGCTGTCTGGTGACAACACACTCTCCTTATATTTAATGTTGAAAAAGGGATAAAACTTAACATTTAAAAAAAAAGTGAAAGCTAAGATAGTATTGCAGTTATTGCATCAGTGCAAACAATTGTGTGTCTGTTGATCAAAAATGTTCAAGTTCTTAAAGACAGGGAGCTAGATTATTTCCCTGACAAAAGGTTTTATTTAGTTGTCAGCCATTTTGTTGATTTTAAATGTTTTTCATTACAATAACAGAGTTATGAGCTGTGAAGAAGTCATGTCAACCTTAGTATGCTGGCCTGACAGACAGTAGTACGGAAATATTGCTGAGGGTTTTGCTAAAAGAGCAGGATTTCCAGGAGTGATTGGAGAAGTTGATTGAACCCACATAAAGATTCCAGGGCCATCAGAATTCAGAAACTCCTATATATGTAGGAAAGGTTGGTCAGCATTCCACCTTTAGGGTGTTTGTGACAGCAAATTAAGGTTTTTGGGTGTTTACTGTGCTTACCCTGGTTCCGTTCATGATTCTCGGGTTTTCAGGAACTGCCCATTAAGTGCCAAGCTACAGACAGAAGGGACAGGACAGTATCATGGGTGAGTCTGCGTACAGTTTGTCCCCATATTTACTAGTACCATTTAGGGATAATGGACATTCATCAAGAGAACAAAAAAGGTACAACAATGCACTCAGTTCAACCAGAGTTGACATTGAACGCTGCTTTGGTTTATTGACAGGGAAATTCAGGAAGCTAAAGTACTTAGATATGCTAAAAGTGGAGTACGTTCCAATTACTATAACAACATGCTGTGCTTCACACAACTTTATACTTCGGCAAGAGTCATACACTGATGAAGACATTGACTTAGATGATCTAGATGGAAATGAACAAGTGTCTCTGTGACAGAAGCTGCTGGTTGCACCAAACGGGAAAAAATAATGAACATGTTAGCTTGAATCAAAATAAAACTCCTAGTGTTCCAGATAATGCATATTGTGTGTACTGTCTAAATTAGAACGTTAGAACACATTATCAGTCTAAATCTTGTTTGAAAGGGCGTGATGGCGTATTGGTTAAGGTGTCCGCCTCACATCCAAGGGGCCTTGAGCCCTACACGGGATGGCGATCATTTTCAGTCTGTGAAATTAATATTTTGAATTTGGTTTCTGAAATTGTTATTTTTATACAGTTTGTTCAATATTTATACATGTGTGATAAAATTTGATATCTCTTCTTTTTTTTTGAGACCTTTCTATGCATGCCATGGGATATGAACACTACTCCAGAAATTTATGCCATTTTCAACCACTCCAAGGGCAGTTTATTCGTTATGAAAGAGCTAACTTAAAGGCAAATATATAACAGAAGCCGGACAAAAATTGACCACAAAAATATGATGTTTACTTTATTCCAGATTGCCTGAACTCTCCCTTCAAAATGTTGAGAGAATTTGTTCCCAAATAAGGCATTGTATCACTCCCTTGTGCATCTCGTGGCAGCTCAGTTTATAAAGTGGTGAAGTGGTTTCGACATTTTACTTAATCTGTTGGTTGCGAGTTGAAGCTAAGCCAAAATTCTTAAGCAAGAAATTCCTCAGTACTAGTTGGTTGCCAAGGAAATGAAAAATTTGATAAATAAATGAATCAAATATACCACAAAAACATTTATTGAAGTTAAAACATATTACAAATTAAGTCCTGCATAATTCAAATAACAAAAGACAGTTTCAATAATGATAACAATTGCATCAAAAATTGTTTGACCCAACTGTGTAAATAAATTAAAAAGCAAGATGTCACTGAAAGTGTTTGGTTAAAACAATCCAGGGTTCATACAGACATCCAATGTCAAAATTCAAGGACTTTTGAAGCTCTATTTAAGCACATATTCCCATTTTTTTAGCACATTTGTTGCACATATATCGACACAATATTCAACCTTAGAAGGATAGTTTATTTCACCACTTTTTCTTGAATTATACACATTTTCTAGCCCAAATTTTAAGGTTTTATAGAAGAACAACAAAGAATGCATCAAATACAAATTAATTAAAAACAACTGCAATTTGTCCACTTGTTACATTGAGCAAACATTTCATTGATTTTGATACTAAATTGGATCTTTTTTTTTTTAATTTTGTTTACTGTTGACTTTTATCAACACTATGTCGTTCAATCATTTTCAAGCATATTTTCAGCAAATTTAAGCACTTTTCAAGACAGTAATCAAATTCAAGGACTTTCGAGCACTTTTTTACATTTTTTTTAAACTTATTTCGACTGTTGATTCTTTAGCAATTTAACAAGGTTTTCTAAGGCAGAAACACGACGGGTATCTAACGCCATCTTTTCCTCGTCATATTTTGTTGAGTGCGCTGGTATTCAGCAAACCATTGTGGCGGTTCATCATCGTATGGAGAGCGGCGTTTTTTTCTTAGTTTTGGCGCGGTTGTTGATTGCATATCAGCGGTTGTCTCTTCTAGTAAAGACTCAGGCTGCGTTCCACTGAATGAGACACTATGTCCTCCATTGGATAATGTATGTGTCCCATTTGAGCTAGAGGAAGCTACAACTGCTTTCATGGAACTGACCACTTTCTTTGGGATGACAGCTGGATCCTCAGCCAACAATTAAGCCAATCGTCCATTACCTCGTAGTATCTCCAGTTGTTTCTACTGTTACCAGTTGCATTGTTGTTTTTGTTTAATAGTCTTGTGTCTGAAAATAATCAAACTATCATTTTAATGTTTACAAAAGAAATGCTTAAAGCTTAGTACTTTACTGTTTAAACATAAGATAAACGTAAATAAGTGAAACTACATCTGCACAAGAGTAATTATGGAGAAGTTTAAGTGAAATTTCCAGTCGACTGAACTGTAAGTGAATGTAATGAAAACACCCTGAAGAAAATGAGCATATCTTCAGTGCTCTTTACCTTGTAGGTCTTTTGTTAAATCTGTGTAAAAGAGAATTAAATAGATAATTACATATTTTTCAAACTGATCATCTTCTTCCTGCAATCTTCCCAGGAGTAGTCGTGACCCTTCTCTTTAAGGTCAGCTGCCACACGTAGCCATGCCTGACGAGAAGTCACTGTGCTACTTTCGAAGAGATGGTTTAGTTCTCTTCGTCTGTCTATAAGTTGCACACTCTAAATGAACATTCAAACTTTAATGAAACAATCAATCTTACCGTTGGAACATTTTTCAAATAGATTCTCAGGCACTCTAGAATCGTAAAAATTATTTTCAACATTTTATAGCGATAACTCGCGTAAACTTCCAATGTCCGCCATGTTGAAATTCCAAGCGAATCTCCTTTATCGTCGATTCGCGTGCGCTCACAGATAACACTCTCGCGCGCTCTCGTTCAGGAGACGAGCACTCTATTTTTAGCAGGGCACTCTCCTTCCTGAACGCGCCTCTGTATTCGTTTTCCTAACTGGTTTATGTGTAGATAAAGTATCATGATTTGTTGATGGCTTTTGACTGGTACTTCTGCTAGTCTCAATCATGGGATTCACACTCGACAGTGGACTGGTACTTTTGCTAGCCTCAGTCACGTGATTCACACTCGACTGTGGACTAGTACTTTTGCTAGCCTCAGTCACGTGATTCACACTCAACTGTGGACTGGTACTTTTGCTAGCCTCAGTCACGTGATTCACACTCGACTGTGGACTAGTACTTTTGCTAGCCTCAGTCACGTGATTCACTCTCGAATGTGGACTGGTACTTTTGCTAGTCTCAGTCACGTGATTTACACTCGACTGTGAACTGGTACTTTTGCTAGTCTCAGTCACGTGATGTGTACTCGCACTTATTTCTGTAGATGATGTTGTCGACGTATTTTCATATGCTTTTTGAATATATAATGTAAGACAATATTTAAACCGTTATATGACTTAATACAAATTGTTTTTTGGGGGGTTTTTTTGTTTGTTTGTTTTTTTTGGCTTGAAAATATTCTATTAAAAGCATAAACCGTTATATGACTTAATACAAATTGTTTTTATTGGCTTAAAAATATTCTATTAAAAGCATAAACCGTTATATGACTTAATACAAATTGTTTAATTGGCTTGAAAATATTCTATTAAAAGCATAAACCGTTATATGACTTACATTCAATCAGGGATGTTATATTTCCGATCCTTGAAGATCGTTCAGTACGACATAATTATTATGCTTGTGGTAATTTAGTTCTTTTTATTTGGCTTTTTTCTTGTTGGGTGGTTCCACTATTCCTCACTTGAATACTGTTGAATCACCCTTAGGATATGTGGCCTGTTTTTTAAATTTGTCTTTTGACGTATTATCTGTGATATGCAGGCTTAATAACCTCTGATCCCCTTTCAAAATTCCATTTTATTTAGTTCCGCCCATTGTTTTCTCGTTTAGGGTACATGCATTTTTTTACTTGGGGACCATATGCCGCTTTTCATGGAATGGCACTTAGTGTCGCATTGAAGGTTCCATGATAACCGCCATATGAACACATCTGCGGATGTTTCAAAATTCAAAATTGTACCATATCATTTTTAATGTTGAATTCTGCTTAAGCCGATGCTAGGGGGCGTGGACGGTAGTTTGCACCTGACAGTACCGTCCATGAACAGGCTCAATCAAACCGAGCCTGCAACATTTTCAATTGTGTTGTGTTGGACTTTCTTTAGTGATTCTTACTTTCTCTATTTTAATACAAATTGTTTTTATTCTATTAAAAGAATAACGCATTAAACAATAGAACTTCAGGAGTAATAAAAATGTTTCAAATCTTGAAAGTAATAATTCAACGGTACAACCTAAATCAACCTAAATAGAATAAAATGTGAATAATAATTAGAACATTTGATGTTGCCGTTTTGCTGTCAAAATGATTTCGCTTCAACAATAAACTTTAATCTTTTCATTTTTATTCAAATGGATTCTAACTTAGAAATATAATTTTGACCTACTCCACTAAACATTTTATTATTTAGATAGTTTTAAATATATTTGCCTTTAATATATCCTTTTTACGTTAAATAATGAAAGAAATAGTTACTCTGTGTGTCGTATATCATGATTTTCCAATGACCACCGCAGTATTCATCCGGATTACCTTCACATTTGTAGGTACAAGATGCTGTCCTGTTATAAAACTTTATTTTATTTCCACAAAAACACTCTTCGCCACTCTGTCAAAAGAACAATGATTATGTTTAAGTCATTAATTTATAAACAAGATATTTAAAAAGCACTGATTCGAAAACTCAGGTAATGGATATAAAAACTTCTAAGTTTGAAACCTGAATCTTAAAATATATAGATTATTACAGAAAATAAGCGAGATCATTTTGAGAGGCAAGCAAGTAGCAAGCTGCTCGCAAACGCATTGTGTTGGTTTTATCATGGCGTGGCTCAAAAATGTCTCCATGGCCAAAGATAATATATTGTGTTATGTGATAGGAATATTTATGAAATATTAAAGCTATTTCCTTTGTTTATCTTAAGTGACAAATTGTTAATAACGCATTAAATATTTTTCCTGGTGAAATACTTTTGCAAATATTACTGTGTGTGTTTTTAATCTGCTATTTACTCGGATTTTAACGCATATTGAGTGAGCGGTCGGTTCACCTAACCGGCTTTCCGGGATAACTCACCACGTATTGCCATAGTTCTCCGCAAGTGACCGACTACTTATCTGACATGACTTTTAGAGGTGAGAGACAAATGACTAATAAACTAATTGTACGGGATCAGTTGTCACTAAGAAATTTTGCCCCCTACGAACATGGAACCAACAATCTCTGGCTTACTTGAAGTAATTCAACAGAATACTTTTGACATTAGCAAGGTGTCTATGTGCAAGCAATACTAAAATATAACTGCACAAAAATATCTCTTATAAAATTCATATTCAAAAATAAATCCACTTCTAATAAACGCTCATGTTACAATATCGCAAAGTTATGAGTACATCAAGGATACAAACATTTAACACTTACCACATCAGGAAGTATAACACAAGGAAAAACAGTCATAACTTGTTGCTTTTTTTTTTTTTTGCCTTTTTTTTTGTAAATATATAGATGAACTCATAAATTGATTTAAGTAAAGGCGGCGATATTATATGCCAATTTGTTTCATGGTTACATGTTTTTATGTCCCTTGTTAAACATACGACAATCAGTTTCGCATTTGCAAACGAATTCTAATCATTTTTGTATACATTGCTTGCAATGTATACAGAGAAATAAGCTAAATATCCATAATCGTTACAGGTTCAGCCTCTACCGAACATAATCCACTTCAGAATAAATTCCGCAATAGAAACCAGGGGCCCTATTCATAAAGAATCTTAAGTTTTAAGGGAAGAAAATCCTTAAGTCCAATAATTTCCCTAAGGTAAAAAATTCCTTAAATAGTTCCCTTAAATATCACCTAAAAAGGGAATTTTGACTTAAGGTTTTTTATGAATAAGACTTAAGATTTTCCTTATAAATTAAGGGAAAATTGTATGATTTTAAGGGAAAACTTCGAGTTAAGGGGAAATTTTTCACTTAAGATTATTTATGAATACGGCACCAGTTCTTTATTCTGCAGTATTGTTACATTCCGATTACACGTCATTTTAATGTTTTAAAAGTTCCAAATCGTTTATTTTCATTAAATGATACATTTCTATATAGAAAACAAAAAAATAACAGTCCATTGATAAAATTCTTAGTATACTCAACATCACTAATTCCGCGTCATCACTTATTTCACGGTAATGGCATATTTTTATGTGACCAGTCTTAAAATTGGTCAGAATTGACATATTTTATTCATACACCTAAACAACAAAGTTTTTGTTTAAAATATTGTAAATCTATAGATTTTCACGTAAAACAGAACATCATTTTATAAACTTCTGCAAAAAGCAACAATAGTCCTTAATTTTGTGCATATGTCTGAAACAATCATCATTTTCTACATGTTCTTGTTCGTTCAAAAAATAAATTTTGAGGTACAATGATAAGATACTTTTAATATTAAAAATTGTGCAAAATAACATGTAGAAATTTTACCTGAAACATGAAAAAACTGAAGTGTAACACCATTACCGCGATTTAAAAGATGACATATTGTTTTCAAAATGGCCGACATATGGTCTACGTCTGCCTCATTTAAACTGATTTTTACTAAATATATTGTTGTGTCCTTGTGTCATACAGCACAAAATAATAAATGTTACAGCTTATGACAAATTTTGTACCATAAGGTACCATAAGTTTTATGTGTTGTTTTCTTTCTTGCTTCAAAGCATTAAGTACCGTGAACTAAGAGGAGCACAGTATATATACCTACGCGTTAAAATTTGCATAAACGCATGCGCGTGCAAGCATGAATAAATACATCGTAAATATAGTAGATCAAAAGTCGTCAGAAATGTATAAATGAGACGAAACATCTAAAATAGAAATTTAATCAAATAAAGTTCCTGATTTACAATTATGCAATAAAATTTTTCAAAAATGTTTTACAAAACGAGTATGGAGCTCCGTAACAAAAATTATTTGCCTGCATATACCTTTAAAAAAAGCCGAAAATTAGTATCGCAGCTTCGATTTGTTTGAAAAAAAAATAGAAATTTCATAGCAATTTTTTAATACCTTTTTACACATGATTTTCCTTTCATTTTTGTATGCCTTAAAATTTATGAAAAGAAATATGTTTCGAAATTCAGCGGTTATTGCCTGATTCAGTAATGGGTAAATAAAAAAACAAATTGGCCACTCGACCATTCGACAATAACAATTCGTCAGACTTGGAATATTGACGGACGATTGTCCAGTGTATGTGACCCAATCTTCAGAAAAAGGGCAAATAACCCGGAAAAAAACGAAACAAAGAAATAATTGGTACGATAATGACTGTAAGGGGAAACAAAAAGAATTTTATAGAAACTTGAATATTTATAGAGCAGATAAAACTACAGAAAATAAAATAAATGTGGTAAAATCTAGAACGGAGTATTAAACATTAGTTAGAAATAAAACGCTTAATCACGATATTCAGGTAACCAAAACATTAGAAAAATTCCGTTTTAAAAATGCAAAAGAATATTGGAAGCTATTAAAGAAGACAGGTTTACGGGCAGAAAAACATAGTATATCCTGTACACATTTTGCCGAATACTTTAAAGCGATAAATAACCCAGATTCTTTTTCTTTTTTTTTCAACTGGACGCTGATGCAATTAATTCTAACGAACTATATGACAATGGTGAATTTCAGTGTATGTTTGATGAACTTGATTTAGAAATCACGAAGAAATGAAAAATTACGCGCATGCTTAGAACTTACGGAGGACCAGATTATTTTATAATTGAATTTTACAAATACGGAATTTACTCGCTACTACCATATTTACTCAAGCTTTTCGACAAATTACTATCACAAGGTGATTTTCCCCAAATGTGGTCGGAAGGTTTTATAATACCTTTCTATAAAAAAAGAGATACTAATTTACCAGACAATTACAGGGGAGTAACATTTCATGGAATGGCACTTACGTGTCACATTGAAGGTTCCATGATAACCGCCATATGAACACATCTGCGGATGTTTCAAAATTCTAAATTGTACCAGTTCATGTTAAATGTTGAATTCTGCTTAAGCCGGTGCTAGGGGGCGTGGACGGTACAGTACCGTCCGTGAACAGGCTCAATCAAACCGAGCCTGCAACATTTTCAGTTTTGCGGTGTTGAGTTTTTTAGGGATTCTTATTTTCTCTATTTTTATCGCCACATCAGCGTTTTTTGTGCCGTGTGGAGGCTGTAAAAAGTCGCCCCGTACATTCAATCAGAGATGTTATATTTCCGATCCTTAAAGATCGTTCAGCACGACATTATTGTTGTGCTTGTGGTAATTTAGTTATTTCTATTCGGCTATTTTCTTGTTGGGTGGTTCCAGTATTCCTCACTTGAATACTGTTGAATCACCCTTAGGATATGTGGCCTGCTTTTTAAATTTGTCTTTTGACGTCTTATCTGTGATATGCAGGCTTCATAACCTCTGATCCCCTTTCAAAATTCCATTTTATTTAGTTCCGCCCATTGTTTTCTCGTTTAGGGCACACGCATTTTTTTACTTGGGGACCATATGCCGCTTTTCATGGAATGGCACTTACGTGTCACATTGAAGGTTCCATGATAACCGCCATATGAACACATCTGCGGATGTTTCAAAATTGTACCAGTTCATGTTAAATGTTGAATGAAGCCGGTGCTAGGGGACGTGGACGGTAGTTTGCACTTTACAGTACCGTCCATGAACAGGCTCAATCAAACCGAACCTGCAACATTTTCAGTTTTGCCTTGATGAGCTTTCTTTAGGAATTCTTATTTTCTCTATTTTACTAAGTACCCTAGGTAAACTTTTTTTCAAAAACACTTAATACAGATAATTTGGCAGAGAACTATCACGTTTACGTTGACGCACAACAGGATTTAGGTCAAAGATGGGAACTGTTGATAATATTTATGTATTACAAAGTATCATTAATCGTATAATTTCTGGAAAAAACGTCTTTTTGTTTGCTTCGTTGACTTTACAAAAACATTTGATTTTATTGTTGGGGATAATCTATGGTTAAAGCTGATAAAATTAGTAGTCAGGGGAAAAGTAATGAAAGTTTTGAAATCTATGTATACAAACGTCAAAGCCAGAATTAAATTATCAAATACATTGAGCGAAACTTTCATGTGTTCATTAGGGTTCCATCAAGGGGACAGCTTGTCCCATTTTCTCTTTTCTATGTACATAAATGATTTAGAAGATACTTTTATATTAAAGGGTTTTAAAGGCATAGACTTAGGTCCTCTGAAATTGTTCCTATTATTACACGCGGACGACATTGCTATTATATCGGAAACAAAAGATATTCAAAAGGGATTAAATATTTTAAAATATTATTGCGAGGAATGGAAAACTAAACGTAAATAAAACAAAAATAATGGTTTTTGAATGGGTGGAAGAAATCAGCAAAATTAAAGTTTTTGATATGGAAATACAGAAATTGAAATAGTAAATAAATTCAAATATCTAGGAATCGTTTTTACAGTGGGAAGATCATTTTCCAAAACCTTCGAAGCACTTTCAGGACAAGCATTAAAGGCAATTTTTAAACTTAACTCTTATATGCGAAACTTCCCTAATATCTCAGTTTCAC